CTATATTAACGCGATTACATCACATTAGCTGGTTTTGTTTATTGTTTCAACGCCCACACAACTTCGACGAACGTTGGTATCAATAAATAGAACAACGTTCCGACCGATATTTATTAGTACATTTTCTCAGTTCAGACGGAATACAATGAGCTCTTTAGACGTCTTGCTGGTCATATTTTTATCAATATTGACGACAGTGCAGTCCGCGCTATATCGGTTCATACCCGAAGATTCTGATGTATTTGTGGATTGTGCGGATCGACCAGAAATGAATGGAATTAACGATTGGGCAAATATCTTAGATTATTCCTTTGACGATGAGGGAATAATACATGCAAGGGGAACTGTAACAATCCTTTGGGATATTGAGCAAACTGATCGCGTAACGGTAAATACCAATCTTAGCAATTAAAAAAGGATAATTCAGTTTTTCCGTCTTTCATCTATGTGCTATCTACGAAGCCTTTTTAAGAAAAAAGGCTTTATTTTATTTTATTTTAATTGCGAGGAAAGTGATTAAAAAGTTTTTCCTTTCATGACTTTCCGAACAAAGGGAAGAAGAAATGATTATTTTATTGAAAATCTCCTCCAGCCTTACGAAATAGAACAAAAATTACTGATCAATTATTTTTGCAGATGGATATCGAATTAAAAAAGTATGCACGCGGCACCTGGGACCAAACTTTCTTATCCGTAAAAATAAGCGATTTTTGCAAAGATATGAGAGATACCAACTCTATGGTCTATGATTCATGGTCGAAACACATTACTCTGGAGGAGGGGGAGGAGATTCCATGTTTGGGGAAAGGTGTACGTATTGTAGACGGTATACTTGTACATATTGTAGAGATTTATACGCATTTCAAATTTAGGTAGAATATCATCATGAACCATTTGTAATGAAGGCCGAATTTAACGTGAAAGGTATAAATATGGAAGGACGGCACAAATTGGTTTTCATTTTACACGCATATGACAAAAATGATCGACGTAAGCCAAACAGTATTTGTTTAGAAGTTCCGGGGGAGATACTTAAGGTGTAAACAGAAGATCGATGCGAAAACAATTTTTTTAGTTTGATTTGTTTATCAACACTTATTAAAAGGAATAAAAAGTCGTTAGCTTAACTATTATTTGCTTTATTTTCTGCTCGGTATAAACTTGTGCACCAAAAAGTCTTTTAATATTTATTACCAAAGAAGGAAGATACACTCATTTTGTCAAGACGTTTGCAACGCCTAACAGATAGCATCCGCGATCCCGCAAAGTATATACATTTTTCAGCGGTTTCAAATTTGGAATGCACCTCAGTATGTACGTCCTTTCGCCTGTCCCTCCCTTGGTCTGCGCAAATGTAAACATTCCCTCGTTGGCGAAAATGAAGATATTGTCTGCAGATTT